GAGTGAGCTTTCGACTGCCATTGCCAGCTGAATACCGCAAATTAGGTATCCACCTGTCTGACAGGCAAGACGTGTTGTGATGCCGCCTGAGGGTCATGAAGTGAGTTGATAGGACAGTTTTCGACGACATTAACGCGATGCACGTCGTTCGATAGCATGGTGACTTGCCATGCGGCACTGCGTTGCTAAAACCTATGTACTATACCCATCTCTCTCGTTCTGTGTGGAGAAATGTTGCTTCGTCCGTTGTTAGAATTGCTCCGCCCTTCCAGACCATCTCAAGCCATCACAGAAAGTCTGGGGAATGCGGGGGACGAATGAGGAGCATTCTCATGGTGATGACCGTCCCGCTTTGTCTGGAGGAATGCATACCGTATTCGAACGGTCGACGTAGAACTGAAAGGGCCAAGCTGCAGGCAGGATATCTTTATCAGCGTTCATGACTTCCGGAGCTTTGTTCGCGCACGAGACCCATATCAACCCGTCGTCTATGTGAATCAAGTGGAACTTTTGCACCATGAGAGCGGAGGGCCATATCACGCAGGACGCCAACGCTTTCATGCCCACGAGGTTCCATGGCTACCAGGGCATGCGTGTGCTTGTAAATGTGCTGGCGGTGACTTGATCAACTCCTTCAAATCTCGTAAATGGCCTTCTACAAACGATCAAGTCCTGCATTAAAGGAGTGGTGTGGCTGATCTATGAACCACCATCATGCTATTAAGGGCTCGGCCCTTTGCGGCTTGACGATTTTCCATACTCGGCACAAGGGGCCTGAGAAGAATCGACTGTTGAAGCCGCACGAGCCAAGTCAGTGACGGTGAGAGTCCGAGACAAACAGCCCAAGTTGTTCATCGGAAGCCGAAACCTAAAAGACGGGTTGGTTATGTGCATGAGATGAGGGTACCTGGCCTGGCCCATCCCCGCGTTGGCAATCTCATGACACACCAACACCAAGAGACGCGGGGTCGGTAGGGTTCTCCATCTTCTCGTCGGGGCTGTTGGAGATCAAGGGTGGCTGCCAAAGAACTTGGCTAGGCGCGTTGGGAATGCCCCCTGGCCCGACTTTTAGTCAAAACACCAATACTATTACGTGATAATAAACTATGTCCAGCACGTGAAGACGAGATTGAATGAAGCCGACATCAAAACTCGCATCGGTAGCTGTCCGCGCAGTTTGCGGGGAAATCTGGGGACGTGGAGACGTGGAGACGATACTTTCAGTACCCTTTCATGAGAGATTTCAGGGACTTGTTGTTGCATGGCTTTGGGGTTTCTGGATGTCGATCAAAGTCGTTGTCATGAACTCTTCGGGCCCTAGACCGTTCAGCCAGATGGCCAGGGGAGCCTCGGCTCACGATAAACTAGGGTGAGATTTGCTTTTTGAACCCTAGTCCCGATTGCCCAAACTCCAAACTGTTTCAATCGGTCAATGGCAGGCTAACAACTTGCTAGACCTTGATCATGATACCTAAAAGCCTCAGCACCATAAAAACTTGACAAGTAGCCATGATGTGTACCTGAGTCGAGGGGACCGATCATAACCGACAGACATCCTGCCACACCATAATAGACCAAGCCTTCAGCCTAGCAGCACAAGCCAACGTGAACGGCCTAATCAAAACTAGCAGTGGTTCGCCCGGAGCAGTCGGGTCCTGGTATAATTCAGGGCTAATCTTGATTCGCTCACCATTACCTTACCAGCAACGTAGCATTCAACCTCATCTCAGGCTTGTGGCAAATCGGACATGAACCCCAACGCGTCAATGTCGGTTGCCTCCCTCGTGAAGCGATATCAGAATCCATGAGTCGCCGAAAGACGATAAAGAATGGCGGGATTGCCCATTGCCTCAAACGTTTTGGCATTATCATGGCTATGTTAGTGGTTGATGGAGAGCAGACCGACTTCTCATTAGCCTAGCTCAATAGCCGCGTGAAGCAGACATGGGGAACTCGCTTAGGCAGGGGTTGTGCAAGCAAGCGGCTCGAATTGAAGCAGTGTGAAGACACCGTCAGCTCCTGTCGGACATTTGTGTCTCGGGTATTGGCGAAGAGCGTTTTCAACAAGGATTAGGCATGATTGCGCGAATAAAGGATAATGAAGGGCCTGTATCCAACTTGGTTGCCTTCAACAAGAAAAATGATTGCCTCGAGGTTTTGGACACTTAATCTCCTTTACATTCAATGCCTATCAGCTCTCAGGCAAAGCGTAGTATACAACTCGGGTGAGTGGGAATCCGATAAAAAAATAGACATTCAGATGCGAGCCAAGACGTAAAACGATACCGAGGCGGTGATTAGAACCGAAAATAGCTTGTTCCTAGTATCATAATAAGATGCGACTATGACCAAAGGCTTGAGGCAGCCTTGGGTCCCTAGTTCGACTTGGGCCTTGGACTGCTCTAGTTTTTCGTAATGTAGCGCTTGCTTCTTAATTTTCCAGCGATGAGAAACGAGACACTCATCAATCGCACCAGCAACCAATGAAAAGAGACTATCGTGACTGAATAAGGTTGATGAGCCGGCGACAGGGACCGTCATGACCGAGACCTGATTGGCATGGATATGCCTCGCTGTCAGTGAGTGAGTGGTTACTGTTTCTAAGCGCCCCCCTGTCGCTTTGGGAGAGATTGGTAGTGCTGGAAGAAAAAGAGCAGAGAGGGCTTTTTGCAAAGTGCGAGGCTTAGACCCTAGCTTGGCTTCCATGCAGCATCGTTCGGTCCTTCTAACGCACGATTTTATCGTGTAGTGTATGCGGCTAGAACCAAGCCCAAGCTTGGTTCGGAATAGCTACAAATGTAGACCCTTGCCGCCCCCGCACACCGTCCCTGTCGATACCTTGGATTGACTGGCTTGTGTGTTGATTGATTGCTTCAAAACAGGAGGCACCGGTAGTCGTCTCCAGGTCACGGCATTCAACCATTGAAGCGTTATGACTTATCCGTATATTGTTGTAGTCTTTACCGCGTCGTCCGCTGAGGAAAAATCACTTCAGTACTCCCACCACTGTCACAGCCACTGTTGTCACCATGCGTTTGTTTTGAAGCAGGGGTATTTCGCAGGGCCCTGACGACGAGCGATTGCCAACATTTGCAAATGCATGTTTGATGATCCGACCCTTTTTGTATGTATTGCATGTCAAGCAGTGACTGATAGCCCACATAGTGACTTTAGGGACAAGTCCAGTGAATCTTGGCTTTCAGCGGAGGAAGATAAGAGTTTTGCCTAGTACTGTCGGTGAGCGGAAGGTCCGGCGTCAAGACGTTTTGCAACGAAGAAGTTCTCCATTAATAGTGTTGTTTCCAACCAGCCTTGGGAGTTTTCAAAATTCAAGGGTTAGGATAAGCGTCGGGGTCGGATTTGCAGGGACCAGCTCTCGTTCAAGGGCTCTGTGCAAGGAACTCTTGGAATGACGATGAAAAGGGTTGTGATCAGCCTGAAAGAGTTCATGCATCTATATCGAGTTTAGAGATCAGTGACGATCACGTTTAGCAGACTCTTTATTTGGCCCGCTTGTGTCTCAAGTCTTCCTTTCACATCTGCATTCCAGGAGTATGTGTCCAAGCCCTGTCGTGTTCGGGCTCCCAACCTTCGGGTTGATCCCGGTTTAGTGGACATTTCCCTAATCCCTGACCGAAGGATCGGTACTCTTGTAGACACCGATGAAACTCTGCAGCTCTCCACGAATGCAGCCGCTAAAGCTGACCTGCGCAAGATGATCACTGCCTTATCGGCTCCTGATAGTGTATGTTTGAGATTGGTCCTCTCTCGGGACCGGCCGACACTTGCGAGCAACGTTGGATTGGATTTTAGCAGTACCGAGCTGGCTCTGACCCTGAAGATAAAAGAGCCGAACTGAAGTCGATCACAGATGGTATTCATGTAAGCTAAACTGTACCGCGCAACGATGAGAAATGACCACAGTGCAACGGTTGTGTAGTAACGGCAAAACGGCTGGAGTGCCTAACCGAAAGAATATCTATGCAGTCTTCTGTCTTTCCTGTGTGATGTGATGCGTACCACCAACCAGGGGACTATTGTCAAGCCGCCAAGGCGTCAAGCAAGGCTTCTGATAACCCCCGCGGTAGAGCCAACTACGACCATAAAGGTACGTAAGGAGTGATAGGGTCGGTGGGATGTTGGTGTTCTAGAAATGTGGCTGCGACGCTTAAAGCTTCGAAATCTAGGTAGGGTTGCTTCGTCGAATTTGCGGACATGCATGGTGAAGCACATTCGGATGTGGTGGAGAGCAATGCTTCACACTTCACGATAACTAGTGCAGGGCGGCTCAAATCTCATGGTGGTGTGACGCGACGGTGCAGAGCATACGATCCTTGATAGCTGGACACTGGATACTTTTGAAAAGTGCTTCGCATGGATACGTGTTACTAGCCAGGGCGATGATGGCAACCGTTGCAAATGACTGAGGACAGCGCTGTGCGTAGTGGTGTTGAAGTGGTTCCAGATGACGAGAGCGGCGTGCATAGGTGTGGCTGGCTGTCTGCCCTCAGTGCGAGGGGTAGCATCCATCTCTTGCATGCAAGCAACCACTTTCTTGGAATCGCTGAAATGTGAAATCTTGGAAATTCAGAAGCCATTTGTCATGGGCGTATTTAGCAGTAACACAAACTTTGTAGAGTCCTGTAAAGACTGAGAATGTGCTGTGATTTTACACCCGGCATTCCATCCTCCTGTCCTTGAAACCTTCGGGTTTCTCGGCCGAGGAGGCGTAGGTCAAGCTCTAGGACTTCCTCTAAGACTTAGTGGTCTCGGGCTCTATCCGTAAATTGAGAAGGGAGCATATCGTAATTCTAGACCGAATGGAAGATGCTGGTGAGCCAAGTAAACAGGCTTGCACAGCAGATAAATTGTCTCCGAAGTTGTGAGTCCATAAATGATGTAAGTGGACGGGCGCAATTCAGCACGAGAGAGGGTCGAGTGGGGGGAATCAGCAAGGGCTGTCGACTGCATGGACCAAGACGGTTGAAGTTAGACAGCGCCTAACTAGTCTGTGTGACATGGCCGAAGAAGTCTGGTGGAAGAATGCATAGAAGCTCTGACAAGCCTAAACTGCTTCTGAGGCGCCGCCACGGTTGACCGCTAAGCAACTGGGTGATTAGCCTTGTCGTGACTAATTGGTCTCAGGATCAACCGCTAAGAGACATGTACCGCAACGTCCCAATCCGTGGTATTGCCGCCATTCGAGTTTCTCGCCATCATATTCATGGCGTGAGTTGGTTAATGGTCAGACAAACCGAGCAGTCGGATCAAATGTGTATGTTTCCGACATGGCTATGGTTGACCAGTTATCAGTGAGGGATGTCCTGATTGTCTCAAAGCATGGGGGTAATCAGCCCTGTTCATGTCACGGTTTGCCATGTGTTGTGCGCGGTTGTCTTGCGTGTGATCCTGCGGGGTGAGAGATTCGTTGGTTCCACTGCCTCTGTCCAGGGAGGTCTTGGGCTGCCAGGGCAATTGAAGATATGTGGTAAGGTGAAGTGGAAGGCGGCCAGCAAACGCGGAGGTAGGACTCGAGCGGAGACTCGTTTCGAGGTTCGACGTCGCCAACCCAGCAAAACTGCAAGAAAGCCTGGCTCTGGAGCCTCTGGATAATATCTTTCACGACGGCGTTGTTGCCAGATGAATGTTAGCATCTGTGTCGTGCTGTTGTAGGTAATAGGGCCCCTGTTCTTAACTGATTTGCACAATGAAATGCCGGCGCGGTTGGCCTTACAAGATCCACGGTTGCAAGCGAGCTAGAACCGAGGTGATTTCAAGATTGACTGACCCGTCTATCGTCTGTTGCTGCTGATGCTGAGGCTGCTCCTCCTCCTCCTCTGCCTCTCCACCGTAAGGAGGCAGCTACCTAGGTGGCTAACGCACCTAGTTACAGTAGCAGGATTAATTGTGATCCTTGGCAACCCCAGGCTGCTTGGCCCTTTTGCTTCTGAGAGGCGGGGAGATTTTGTTTTGTCACAGCGCGAGTGGTTAAGCTGTCGATAATGGATGCATGGGGAGTGGATGAGGTTGTCTTCAGTGGAGATGGAGATGGTTGAGACGAAGGAATGGGCATTTCTGATTGGGCCGTCACGTTGCAAAAGGACCTGACCTGACCACGGTCAAGGGTGCATACGGAGCCCCGGGAGTGGATCGCTTTAGCGCCTACGGTTGTGGATATGGAACTGCAACTGCAAATGCAAATGCAGCGGATGATTTTAAGGTGCACCCGGCGGCGGTTTTGTCACCCTTGTCGCTACATGGATCCAGGATGTCTGTATGCAAGTCTCCTTGTCTGGTGCATCCTGGCCTGTCTTGGCTCTTTTGTCGCTTGAGATAGGTACCTAGCTCGCACGCAATAAAGATCTTTTGTTTCCATTACGGATATGATAACGGATATCTTATCTTCCTCTCGTCAGGAACCATTTCGAACCTGCATCTGTCGATGCTATGCGATCGACAACTGCCAAGAGCTACAGTATCGTGCGTCCAGTACTGACTGTCTGGAGTCTGTAGTGACAACAACCAGTGACAGTGGGAGATGTTGACTTATCGCAGCCTCGTCGGTGACTCCGAGAGTGTCTGAGAGATAAGTATCTTACCTCCAGTCTACAGTCTGAACAGACTTGTACGACAGAAAGGTGAAAAAAAGCTTGGACAGATTGAATTTGAAGCCTCTTTTCCCCTGAGTTCTTCGAAATTTTCTTCTTCTTCTCCCATAGCGTCAAACTACTGGCGCACCAGACTATCTACGGTCTCAGTGTCAGTATGCAGGTTCCTTCTTGATCTTAGCCCCAAACCGACACTCTGCCAGCCCGTTGTGTCATGTATGATGAGCTATCTAGACTGGAAGCATAGACCTATACCGGAACAAAGCTCCTGACAGAGTTTACAAGACTGGATTGAGCCTCAGGTGTGCTTCGGCCGTATACCGTTGTCATGTCGGCTCCAGACGGTTTTTCATCTAGACGAGAGGATGCTACGTGACAAGCCACAAAGAGGAACAAAACTTGCCCAATTCTCCCACATCACCTGGGTTCCCTTGTAAATCTTGGATATTCACGCATCATCAATCTTAACTCATCTTTAGTTATTACCGGCGGCTTTTATGCTTTGAGGCTCTATTCCCTTTGCGCAATCGTCCCCGACTTGGCGCTCGCTGCACTCTTTGCCGAACTTGGCCTAGATTTTCAACCTGGTCGTGAGTGCTCCCTTGTCCGCGACGACGATTACAGTACAGAATAAGAGTTTCGTGAGTCCAATCTGCCCAAGATCCGAGAGTTGGGGGGGGGACTCGGGCGGAAGAGAGCGAGTGAGACCTTGCTCTACAAGGGACGGACTCGATGAACATGGGCTGGCCAAATCAGAACCCCCAGGCAATGTGGGAACGGCCAAGGGCAGTTATACCGGTGTACGAACAGCGCTAGGGGTGCCTCGCAGCGCTATACCGACGGCCACTAAACCGCTCATGGAGATCAAGCCGGGGGGGGCTTAACCCCCCGTAGGCCGCCGAACGATGGGAGGTTCTATCCACCCGACCAGACTTGGGGCGGGTGCTTGCTGGACTGGCTTACCCCAAAGACTTACAGGGTCTGCAGGCAAAGAATGAACCACTTTCCTGGGGCTAGAGATAGATACTTACGACTGCTCACATTCCATACGACAAACAAGGTATCTTAACCGTAACCAACTTGTTTGGTTGCAATTGCACCTACCATTTCGTACAGTAGCGAGTAGCCACGCCCACGCAATCTTCGATCCCGCCCCTCCCCTCCATCCTCCCGTCGTTGTGAGTGAAGTTTTCCTGGTTCCTCAGGTCGTCGTCTCTCCATATTTCTCTTCCTCTTCTCCAAACAACGACGTGCCCTACGTGTTATGAAGGAGGCCCGCGCTGCCGCTATCTACTGTAGACATACATACATCACCGCCTGCACCGGCCAAGACACACCGAGAGAGATTGAGATTGGACTGGGTCCGTTGAGACTGAAACCATTTTCTTATTGCCAGGGGAATCCCTTCTGTGGTTGTCACTGGTTAACCTATTCTGCTCCTCTAGTCTACCTCGGCCGAAATGGAGATGGCATCCAAGGATCCCCCGCTGATCATCGCAAAAAGACACGCTTGCTTGGGTTTGGGATGATGATGCCAACGCCAGAGCCAGGACCTACCAGAGACAGAGACGGAGGCAGAGGCAGAGCCACAGCAAAGACAAGCCAGAGCTAACGGTGGTGCCCCCATCATGGCATGGGAGTCGTCCATCCCCCATCCATCCCTCTCTCTCCACTCCCGTCTCTCATCAGACGTCCCGCTCTCTCGATCTTAAACGTGCCTATCTGCTGTAGGTACATCACTACGCTATTTCACGCTACCACTCCTTGTAATGAACTTCACCCACACCCCTCACTCTTCCTGCACCCCTCGAGTGCACTGCTCCCCATCATGATCCCTGCCGCGGCTTCAGGGTCTTGTTGCTGCTCTCAAGTACTGGGCGATACCCTCCTCGGTCTCTGAACACCCCTGGCCTCTTCTATCTGGCCTTCATCTTGCCTTATACCGTCCTAGAGCGCCACTTCCATATTCATACCCCGTTCCTGAAGACTTCATTCATACTTTAACATCGTGTTTCCACCGTTTCTAAGATCTCCCTGTTGTCTATACTCTTATGAGTTCCTCATATCCAAAGTCTTTAACTATACCACTACTGCACCACCAACTTCACGTCGACTCTTGTCAACATACACATTAATTTAACTCAACTTGGTTATATACCTTGGCCTCGACAACTCTCTTAGCACACTCATCCACCTCTTACACACTTCACCTTTTCAACTTCACGAACATGACAGCCGCCATGTCACAACCGACCGTCACGGTCAAGGATCCCTCTGCAGTACGAAAGCGCAGAAGACGTGCTCCTGCTGGTGGCGCTTCTGATGATTGTTTCTCTTGCTCCAAGAAGAACATCAAGTGTGACCGTAGAAGACCATACTGCTCTCAGTGTCTCGAGGTTGGCAGTGAATGCTCTGGTTATAAAACACAACTTACTTGGGGAGTTGGCGTGGCCAGTCGAGGCAAGCTTCGTGGCTTGTCTCTTCCCATTGCAAAAGCTCCCCCTGTTACTCGTGAACCTAGGAAACACTCGACTGCATCATCAAGAAGCTCTGCCATTGCTCGTTCAGGGACGGACGATGAAGTCAGCCGGATGCGCCAAGGCCCTATTGATATTCCTGCAGTGACACAAGTCGCTTCTGCACCTACAACACCGTTTGCCATGGCAGGATACGACTACCTCTCTATCCCCCATCCTGAGCATGCAGCCCCCATCCACCAAGGAAACTGGGGTTCGGTCAACTATTCTCCCGCTCAAGAAACAGCACACAATCTGCATCGATTCCCGGTGCCTCTTGTCACAGAAAACCTCTCATCTTCCATCGATCCCCTAACTCCCGATGTTGGCTACGTATCGCCCATGAGCCAGTCTTATACCAGAGACGACGTCTCCTATGTTCACAGCCCGTCCTACATGTACGACAGCTATACAACAGGCACTAGCTCTCCTGGCCCTCAAAGCCCCCCAGCATCCCTCTACGCCGAACACGCAAGGACCTTCGCCCCGACCTCATGCCCCAGTCTCGCCCATGCTCCTTCAGAAATGAGCTCCAGCCTTCACTCGCATACCGACACCTTTGACTCGCAAATGGGCAATAGGATGGTTCGGGATTGTGATTCATTCGGTAAGCTCAGATGGAACCAATGAATTCCTTGGTTCTAACTTTTGCAGGCGTGCCTGAAGTCGATACATATGGCGCCAGCTATAGCTCGATGCCGATCTCCTGGCAGTCTCCATCGATGCAAGATGAAGATGTCAAATCTCATCACTCGGACTTTGCTCCCTCGGGTTGGCCAACCGCTTCCGAAAATCATTCTGTTCATGTGAGCCAGGACCTCATCTCCAAGATGCCCTTTTTCATGGATTACTACGAGAATATCATGTGTCCCTCCATGGTCTTTATCGACGGGCCACACAACCCATTTCGAGACCATATTTTGCGACTAGCTGTAAACAGCCAGAGTTTGAGCCATGCAATTTGTGCTCTTGCATCCTGCAATCTCCGCATGAAGAGGAAACTGAGTCTCGGACGTGATACACGAGATCTTTCTGAGAAGTTGATGGCTGACAAACATGCCGCCGAAGCCATGGCAGACACTCAGCCCGACGACCTGTCCCT